ATAAAAGGCTGGCAGTGGAAAGGGAGTTGGGACAAAATGTGCTGGAAAGTAAAGAAATCATGAGACTCATTAATGATGCAGGACTAATGAAAACAGTTAGTGACTTCTCTTCATGCTATGAGCTACTTGTCAAGGAATTCATAGTTAATCTCTCAGAGGAATGTGCTGACAGAAAATCTAAAGAGTTTGGCAAAGTGCATGTAAGAGGGGAATGTGTTAGTTTCACTCCATCAACAATCAATACATATCTGGGAAGATCAGATAGAGCTCGTCCTGATATAAATGGTTCAGAAAACACAATATGCCAAGTGATAACAGGCAACCAGGTACAAAGATGGCCATCCAAAAGAAAGCTAGTGGCTAGCAAATTGAGCATCAAATATGCTATGTTGCATAAGATTGGAGCAGCAAATTGGGTGCCCACGAACCATAAATCTACTGTGGCAACTAGACTTGGTAAAATCATCTATGTTATTGGGACCAAGGCCAAATTTGATTTTGGAACATATGTGTTTGATCAAACTATGAAGCATGCGGGAAACTATAGCATCAAGGGTCCCATTGCATTCCCTTCCCCCATATGTGGCATCATTTTGAAACAGTTTCCCAACATTCTCAAAAGGACTGATGTTGCAAGCAAACGAGAAAGCCCCTTGTCATTTCATCTCAAGCTGTCTCTTGGCAACCATGTCCCTGACCTTGTTGCAACATCAGCTGAGACATCACAGTCCACATCAAAAAAATTTGAAGTGATTATCAAGCTAAAAGAAACATGTCAAGAGATGGATGCAAGGAAAAGAACTCTTGAAGCACTAATCAGGGCCTTTGAGAAAAGTGACAAGGCTGAGTTTACTGATGAGGACAGGCAAAACAATGGTGCAGAAGAGAGTGATCATCAGGAAGCTGACTCAGAGGAAGAAAGAGAGAACAATGATGCAGATGAATCCCCTGAGGATGAGGAGCCTAGTGATGGAGAATCTGACAAAGGCAGGTCCAGTTCTGCATCTGAAGAAGAAGGATGACATGTGCTGATAAAATGCTGTGAAGCTCGTGTTGATTGAACTGTTGTATTATGTTTTGAATTATGTTGGGCAGACCTCTTTGACAGTAAGAATTGCACTGGTTGAATTTGTAGGGATCTCTATGAGCAGTTTTGTAATGTAACCTCATGCTTAGGTATTGGTCCAATTTATGGTTTATGCTATGTGTTAGTTGGATCTCAATTTATGGCTAAAAAGGGGGAGAGAGTGTTAGATAAAAACATGAGCAGGTACATTAGATGGAATAATTGGTGGATAACCAATATGAGTACCACAGGTTATGTGGTAGTGGTAGTAACAGTAGGTGGAAGAACAAGACAGTCGTGAACTGTACTTGAGCATATGCACCATAGTGCTTATGATATTAGTATAACTACAGGTGCTGCTAACGAGATGTGTGTGTGTGATAACAACTGTTTGGGTTGCTACTGATATGATATGTATGCCATGTATGTTAGAACTAGGACTGACATGTTGTAGGTACTAACATGGGTGATCCTAACAAGATGCTTAGGGGTTCTGTGTATGTCTACAAGGAGCATAATGCATCCCTTTAGGGGGAGTTGCACAACTTAGCATAATGCATCCCTTCAGGGGGAGTTGCACAACCATGTGACAAGATGTTATCCTGAATGTCATAACATCTGGAGCAGGCTGGATGAATATATGTGACTGCAAGATGTTCACAAGTGAAGTGTACAACTGATGTGCATCAGTTGAGGGGGAGTAACTCTGTCACTCAACTAGCAAAGGGTGACATCTGTAGTAGAAATCTACAGAGAGTTAACAAAGTGAGTGTTAACAGGGCTGAAAGCCAACCGTGAGGATTCTGAGAGCTTGAGCAGCAAGTGACTTACCTGCATGATAGGACCTATGTTAAGTCTTCTGCTGTGTGGAAATCTCTGATGTAAGTACAAAGTGTTTTAGCCAAAAATTTGCCAAAGGGGGAGTTTGTAAGTGCTCTTGGTTGGCTGCATTTTGTGGCAAAATATTAGTATATGTATGAATGTCATGTCTGATGCTGTTACATTCATAATATAGACTATGCAGGGTAAGTTAACTAAGCTAACTATAAGTTAAGCTGGATATCATACTTAATGTTATGACATAGGTCGTATGACATCAAGCGGAAGTTTGTTATTCTGGTAGCTAGAACTCAGGAAACAACTCAGAAGCTCAAGCTGGAATGCAGGAGACATTTTAGACGCCCTAGGGGAACTAATATGTACCTGATTAAAGTGGCAAACGTGTAGAATACTAAAGAGAGCTTTTATGATGGATAAAACCTAATGTATGCGCCCAGGCCTAAGGACTGATCTGCTGCTATAAATAACATGAGAAGCAATCCTAGAAGGCAATTGTTGGAGATAGAGATGCAGAGAAATCACCATAGTGGTTTAGAAGTGAAGAGGTTGTTCTTCACGATTGTGTCTTAGGAACACTTGTAATCCAAGCAATTGTTGATTGCATTGGTTAGGTAGTTTCTAGGCTGTGTACCACTCGAAGCTGTTAAGCAAGAGTGTGTGTCACTTGATCAAAGCTTTGAAGCAAGATCAAGGTGTGTGTGTGTGTGTGTAGTTGAAGTGTCTCTTTATTCTACTGTTTAATTTGTAACTGTTTGATATCACTGGTGTGTGATTGTAGGGAGTGAGTGGGTATACTCAGGTCTAGAGTGTCTCTAGGTTAAATTGCCATTGGATAGGTTTTAAGTGAGGAGTGCAAACTAGAGGTTTGACTCTGAATTAATTCTACTAATAGTGAAATTTCTCCCTGGCTTGGTAGCCCCCAGATGTAAGTGTGATACACTGAACTGGGTCAACAACCAGTTGTGTTATTGACTGCTTTATTATTACTGCATAATTGTAGGTCTGTAGTGAATGCCACAGTGGATGTTATAACTTTTGTTAGAACATCCATCGTGGGCTGGCCAGAATTTTCATGGAAGATGGTTGAACGTTGTTGAGTTGTTAATGTTATTAGAGGTGTCAATTGCTCACACACGAGTAAGATAACTCACATCCAAACAACTGAAAGAGAGATCAAAGACTTAATCCCTCTCTTTACACCTTGAAAATGAGTTAGATAGTTATTAATTGATTGATGGTTTGATCGAGAAAATCTGCTTGACGTTGGATCAAGGGTTTGACTTATATTCGCGTGCGAAACGTGTTGAAATGGAAATGGTTTGAGAAATGGCTCGACGACGAGTCGAGGATTTGGTTTGAAAATGGAACCGGCTTGACGACGAATCAAGGGTTAGGTTATGAGAAACGATAGTAGTCCTTGAGGGTGGTCCCAATATCGAAACCACGATGAAGTGTGTGCGATGGGTTGATGGCGAATGCAGACGAGTACTCGACTTACGAGGTGTTTGAAAATGGCTCGATGATGAATCGAGAATTAGTTTGAAAATAGTTTAATCTACGCTAGTCCTTATGGGTGCTCCTAGAAGATAAACCAATAATCAAAGAAATACGAAACATACATCGGAATGGGAGAGGGGTACATGCAAATTACACGGGATTGCACGAAATAAAAGGTCTCATTGTCAGGTAGCCTAAGAGAAAGTCGTGTGTATGCAATGTGTCCTGAACTAAGCCTTGAGAAAAGTCGAGCACAACTCCATGCTAGGGTTCCTGCAAATGATCAATGATCCAACAGTCCACCAATTTAGGCTTTTAGCGTTTCAATCATTTATTAAGTGTTTTCGAATATGGGTGAATAAGAATGATGAAAATGAATATGACAATTATGAATAGTATGACAAGATAATATAACAATAATATACAAGATAATATCCATAATAATATTTTACTAAATTTAAAGCAGTTGATATTTGACAGAAAATAAAAGTTAGTCGTTAGTTTGTTATGAATTGAATCGGGGCGAAATGTAACGCTAAACCGTCGTAGCTCGACATATAATGAAAGTCGAACTATAGGAGGTCGCGTGAATTGCTTATCGTGCTAAAAATAAGATAGAGAAATGATATTGAGGATCATTCTCAAATTTAATCGTGTCGCACGGACTAAAGAAAGGTGGGATCTCGTCTTAATCGTAAACTAATGTCGATTAATCGAAGGTAGCCTATCACGATTCCAAAGTAGAAAATGACCCAAATGGTCATTTTCCATGGATTTGAAATTGTAAAGGTTATCGACTTCAATAAATCGACGCTTACGAATCGAAAGACTTCATAGATCGAGAAAATTAAATAAAATAAAAAAAAAATGAAGAAGAAATCGGAAGAAAAAGAAAGTGGTCTCGGGCAAACCGTTATCTATCAATAATTTGACCGATAATGATTTTAGAGGTCTCGTCATCGACTCAAAAATTATAAAAATGAATAAAAATTGAAAATGAAAAGTTGAAAAAAGGATTGGTCTCAAATGTATTATTTTTTGTCAATAATTTGATGAACACCAATCTTGGGGTCTCTTCATCGACCAAAAAAATGATAAAATGATAAAATGAATAAAAATCGAAAATGAAATGGTGAAAAAAACTTTTTGGTCTCGGATTTATTATTATTCGTCAATAATTTGACAAATAACAATTTTGAGGTCTCTTTATTGACCCTAAAGTTAGATAGAATAATAATCGAAAATGAAAATCAAATAAACCTATAAAAAATACGACCAAGAATGTTAACAAAAACTAACTGAGATAATTTAGTAAAAATAATTACCAAAAATCAAAAAAATATTAAGAATTTTGTCATGATATTTAAACTAACAAATCACAAAATTAATAAATGGGGGGTAAGAGAGTGGGATCATATGGGCTGGCCCATCACCCACATGAAAACCGGTTGTCAAAAGGAAAATGGGTGGTGCACAAATAAAAACTAACACAGGCCACAAGGACAGGCCCAAATCAGCAATGAATGGCAAGGCAAAACTTTGAGAATATCAATTGAAACAATTGATTCATTTCAACAACCCCAAGAACCTTAGCCAAATGCTCTGTAAACCAAAAGAAAAACCAGCAATCGCATGTCCTGCTTTGGCCTCCTTATTTGAAAACAACACGCGGCAAAACTCAACGATTCAAAAGAGAAAAGAAAAGCAAGGTGACATTCTCACCCTTCCTCGCACGATTCGCTCAATTTCAACTCAGATTTGAGTTTCGGTTTGCATTTCTCACTCTATTTTAACCTCTGTTTATAAGGGTATTTCTTCTTCTTTCTAAAATTTTCCTTCTGTTAGGGTTTTCTCTGATTTATGGGTTAAATGAAGGATTGAAGCGAGAGGGGAAATGGGTTTCGAGTTGTTTTATGGTTCAATTCGTTGCGGTTTTGTTATTGTGGGTAATGAAGGTTTTGAGGAAAATTTTGGTGAATGAAGATGGTGAAAAGGGGAGATCGGAGGGTTCGCTTAAGGTTTGAGGGAGGTTTTGTTGGATGAAGAACGAGGAAGGCCTATTTTCGCCGCCAGCTCCCCTTTCGTGGCTTTCAAAATCCCTTTTTATAGATGGCATTGAAGAGTAAATGGAATAGGTTGAGAATTAGAATCAAAGTGTGAGCTGGAAGTTTCCGTATCAAGGCCTCTCGGTGAGAACGATGTCGTGTGAGTGGGATCTAATGCGTCATCACGTTGTATTACGGTTATGAGGTATCGGCCTGTGATGTCTTACTGTGTTTCGCTTTTTGCTTTGTACGGTTGGCATCAATTTGTATAACGGTTTGTCGGGTTGTGCGAGCTGCCTACTACTGCAGTTTTTTATAGGTTGTATGACAACATGGTCTTCTTTTCCTATCAATGAGATGTTTATTATAGCTGTATGGTTAGCCAGTGGTAATTGGTGTAGGCCTGGATGTGGAAAGGAACTGTAGCATATATGTGATTTTGCAGTTTTTTGTGTGTTGTTGCGTTTTGAGAATTGGCTGCGGAAAGGTTGTTTACAACATGGTGATTTGTAGGCAAAGTGTGGGTCCTGATACAAGACTGGGCTATCATGAAATTAGTGTTTTTCCTGTTTGTTCGCAACACTATTCACCTACAAGTTATGAAGTTTTTTCAATGTAGCTCATGGTGCCTCTATTTTTTAGAACTCTTGTAATAAATCTGTAATTTTTCACTTTTTGCTTGTAATATTACAAAGTGACATGGAAATTTCTATTTCCTTCTCTTTTTTGATTGTGTAATGGTATGGGCTTAGTAGAATTTGCATGAAATTTATAATTGGGCTTCTAAGGTTTTACCTGCACCCCATACTTTTCACGTGAACCATGATGTATTTATAATCAAACCTTCATGATTTGCAATATTGATCTTCTTAGAACCCTCATAACATCAACCTTGAAGTGAACTAAAACTTTGATTCAATCCTTAAGAAATGACAAAAGAATGAATCAATCTTGAAATGGTATTTTTTTTGAACCAATAGAAAGTGTATGAATTGTAACACCCCACTTCCCGTATTAAATAAAATATAAATATTATAATAATAATCAGAGTTTTCACCAAAAAGTGGGATATCACATCTCCAAATTTTATAAAAATACTTTATTCATTCTTTTCAAAATAATACAGCGGGATTTGTTTCATAAAGTAAAATACATCAAAACATGATACGTCACAGAATTTCAACACGTTTGACATAAAACAATTACAACACCCATATCCCGTGTTACGTATCAGAGCATCCTAGACTCGACGGTCACACCAATATCCAAGCTAGCTAAACACCTGGATTATCTGTACTTCCGAAGAAGCACAGACCACAACAACAACAAAGGGGTGAGAAATAATGATCAGAATATAATGGTAATGTAATACATGTAATAAGGCAGTAAAACACACCAACACATCAATTATTCACCCCAACAACACCATATAACGAACCTACTGTTCAAATTACAATATAACATATTATAATGCAAAATGCAACTCAACACCATGCATGCGGTACCGACTCATTGGTTCATTCAATCGAACCTGGATAGATCACTTACGCTCCTCCTGAGACATGATCTATCCCCCACCATTCTCCATAAAGGAGTACGGATGAATCACTTACGCTCCTCCTGAGACACGATTCATCCCACCAAAACACCATGATATGCACACACCAATGCATAACTAATATATTTAGGCACTCAACGTGCACACGATCCTTCTGATCATATCATCATACACCAATGCACATATGTACAGATATAACATACACCAACACCATATAAATCAACCAGATAGTAAACAAGTTCATACTTTAACACCAAGATATAACATATCCCACCACTCGGGGGTACGCGATCCTACTAATCACTACATACATATACATCAACTAATTGTCCACCAGTCATTATTACGGGAAACATGCACTATCACCAAGTACACAAGTTAGTTCCCACACTCATCATTCTTACAGTGCATCAAGGCCAAACTGTACCTATCATCTCAACTCAGATCCTCAGTCTATTCTAGTACCAATCTTGCACATTACCGTAACCAATAGGCTTCTAATTCCTATTCCCAAAATCATCACCTACACACTCTATCGATACCTCAAAAGCCATACAAGATTTTCCCTAAAAACTGTAAAACACCCTATATGCCCTATATGCCAAATCATCCCAAAACACCAATTCATTAACATTGACTTATACTCCATCACTATCAATTACTAGTTATCATCAAACACAAACACACCAATAAACATTATACTTACCAATTATCCTATACTTCCTACTCTAGAACCAACATTACGGTACATTACCGACACTTCAGAATCACTCTGAATCTCTCCAAGGTCCTAACCGTAGTCATTAACGACACTATAGGGAAACAACACATAATTTTCCCCAAAGCTATAATCATGGTCATTACCCACACTACAGTAACAACACAGAATCTCACCAAAACTCTATTTATATTTACTATCAACACTGCAGTAACAACATATAATCTCACTAACATCACCATAATATATATACACCAAATTCACCAATACCAATCAACAATTCATCAATATCAAGCATCAATTTAGCATTAGCAACAACAATAACAAGCATGCCAATATAAAACTTCATAGATCGGAATTTTCCTACGGGGTTAAGGACTCCCCTCTACCCTATACATGTATATACCATCCCAATCAAGTTTCTCCCCCCTTACCTTGTTAATCGGTTGATCGATGAAAGAACCCTCCAAGGTTTGGCCAATTCTGATTTTCCCCTGTATCCTTCGTTCTTTGCTCCCTTTTCCGTTCCCTTTTTCGTTCTCTCCTTTCTATCGTTCTTTTTCCACTTTCTCTAACTTCTCACAATGTATCCTAAACTACTAATCCCTCACGTTTCTATTTTAATTCTCTAATCCCAATAATAATAATAATAACTTAATAATAATAATAATAAAAATAATAATAATAATAATAATAGTAATAATAATCCTATTATTATCTCACCAAAATAATAATAATGTTAATAACTTAATAAAATAATAATAATAATAATAATAATCCTATTATTATCTCACCAAAATAATAATAATGTTAATAACTTTAATAAAGTAATAATAATAATAATAATAATAATAATAATAATCCTATTATTATCTCACCAAAATAATAATAATGTTAATAACAATAGTAACTATAATAAATATAATAATAATAATAATATTCCCACCAATATCAATATTATACACTATATTATTATATTCACCAAAACACCACCAATAATCCTCCCATATCAGGGACACCCACCAATAATAATATTCATACCGATGATAATAATAATAATAATAATAATAATAATAATAATAATAATAATAATAATAATAATAATAATAATAATAATAATAATAATAATACCACCAATATTACTATTAACTATTATATTATTATCTCCACACCACCAATGATCCTTATATATCAAGGATACTCACCAATCACATACCAACACATCCCACCTAAGGGCACACCAACATAAAATAATTAAATTAACACCAAAATGACTAAATAAATAAAATGGGTGTTACATGAATCACATGACCCGGACTTAAAATATTAGACGTTTGCCTTGGCTTTTGCTCTTGCACAATGATGAACAACAACACCAATTGTGATCAACTTGCATCTAATCGCACCTTATGATTAATCTTGAGAAATGAATAATTACGAGTAAATGTTGATAAGCCAATCATTGTCAGTGAACTAGCTAAACAACCAATAATTGCATTATACTGTACCCAAAATCCTCAATTGAAAAATAAAGGTTTCACATGACCCCTCAACATGAAATATCTGGACTCAGCATAACCTGATAACTTGATTCAAATACTTGTAACTGGCACCCCAATTGGGGTCTCTGACTCATACCATATGAACCAATCAAACCCAGATCCTCGTCTTAAAACCAACTGGTATGGCTAAGATTAGGTCAGATCTAACCAATTCTCAGCCACCATTGAGCCCACACACTCCTGACTGGATGCCCTCAAATGCAGCACAAATTTAGGCAACAAGAAAATAACATATATTTTTGGATTTTTTTTGAATAATTGTCAATGGATAGATGTACAGATGAAGGTAAACAGGTAGGACAAATTTGGGGTATGACAGATGCCCCTGTCTAATTGGCCTAAACCGAGTAAGTTGAACTACGGCGTTCTTTCTCCCGAGGTAGAAGTTAATTAGATATGAAGAAGACCCTGAATTTGTCCAAAAGGAAAAGAAATGCTCGGGAATTAAAATATTGGATCAACGTATACTCTTGAGTAAACTATGAATAACTGACAAAAGGTCGTCATCACCAAAAGGATGATGAAATGAAACACACACGGCTACTACCACCAAAAGGATGATAGAGCAAAACACTCGCACAATATGGCACCACTGAGATGACTGATCCACCACCAAAGGGATGACGGAGCAAACTCACATCGGCTACTACCACAAAAAGGATGATAGAGCAAAACACACTCGCATAATCTGGCATCAACGAGATGACAGACCCACCACCAAAAGGATAACCGAGCGAACCCACACCAGCTACTACCACCAAAAGGATAATAGAGCAAACACACTTGCACAATCTGGCACCAACGAGATGATAGACCCACTGCCAAAAGGATGACAGAGCAAACCCACACCGGCTACTACCACCAAAAGGATGATAGAGCAAACACACTCGCACAATCTAGAACCAACGAGATGACAGACCCACCATCAAAAGGATGACGAAGCAAACCCACACCAGCTACTACCACCAAAAGGACAATAGAGCAAACACACTTGCACAATCTGGCACCAACAAGATGACAGACCCACAACCAAAAAGATAACAAAGCGAACCCACACCGGCTACTACCACCAAAATGATGATAGAGCAAACACACTTGCAAAATATGGCACAAACAAGATGATAGACCCACAACCAAAAGG